TCTGCGAAAAGAGAGAATTTGACTTCTTCTTTGTTGATTTGAATACCTTTTATTTCTTTTTGTTGTCTGATTGCTGTTGCTAGGACTTCTAGGACTATGTTGAACAATAGTGGCGAGAGTGGGCATCCTTGACATGTTCCTGATCTTAAGGGAAAGGCTCTCAGCTTTTCCCCATTGAGGATGATATTCGCTGTGGGTAGCAAATAATCAAGTCAAAAAGTGGGCAGAAAATATGAAAAGACACTTCTCTGAAAAAGACATACAAATGGCTAACAGACACATGAAAAAATGTTCATCATCATTAGCCATCAGGGAAATTCAAATCAAAACCACATTGAAATATACACCAGTTAGAATGGCAAAAATGGACAGGGAAAGAAACAACAAATGTTGGAGAGGTTGTGGAGAAAGGGGAACTCTCTTACACTGTTGGTGGGAATGCAAGTTGGTACAGCCACTTTGGAAAACAGTGTGGAGGTGTCTTAGAAATTTAAAAATAGAGCTACCCTATGACCCAGCAATTGCACTCCTGGGTATTTACAGATGCAGTGAAAAGAAGGGCCATATGCACCCCATTGTTCATAGCAGCAATGTCCGCAATAGCCAAACCATGGAAAGGGCCGAGATGCCCTTCAACAGATGAATGGATAAAAAAGATGTGGTCCATATATACAATGGAATATTACTCAGCCATCAGAAAGGATGAATACCCAACTTCTACATCAACATGGACGGGACTGGAAGAGATTATGCTAAGTGAAATAAGTCAAGCAGAGAAAGTCAATTATCATATGGTTTCACTTATTTGTGGAACATAAGGAATACCATGGAGGACACTAGGAGAAGGAAGGGAAAAATGAGGGGGGGTGGAAATTGGAGAGAGAGATGAACCATGAGAGACTATGGACTCTGAGAAACAAACAGGGTTTTGGGGGAGGGGGGACTGGTTAACCCGGTGATGGGTATTAAGGAGGGCACATACTGCATGGAGCACTGGGTGTTATGCGAAAACAATGGATCGTGGATCACTACATCAAAAACTAATGATGTATTGTATGGTGACTAACATAACATAATAAAAAAAAAGAAATTGGTAATTCAATTTTTGAAAGGTCAGTCTCTTTGTCTTCCTTTATTACTCTACTTGAATTTTTGTTATTTTCACTGCACACGTACTTCTCCCCTATGAGGCCAGAAGGAAGAAAAAAGGCTGAATTCAACCTGACTTCTATCACTTGCTGATGTGGATGAATGACTGTGAGGTGGAGATAGGAAAAAGGTGGTTCATCTGTGGAAGGTTCTTATGTACACCACCACTATCCACCAGGAAGAGAAATTGGGGGTACTGATATTCTAAACATTTTATATATGTTGTTTCAGCAGATCTTCTTCCTTCCCTTAAGAAAAGAAACCTATAAGTATGGTAGGTGGCAGAAAGAAGAGGAAAGAGGTGGGGTGGAGCGTTCCCATGAAGAAATGTGTTTAAAAATTGGATTTTAATGTGAGCCCCAACATTGTATAGGTACATTAACACTGTTAACAATCTGTGCACCAGGCAGCTCCCAGAAAAAACCCTCCAGCCTTGGGAAAGTCGCACGTTTCCTGCATGTTTCCCTCGGCAAAAGCAATCCTGTTATGCCATCAGTGTGGAGCACTGGAAAAATATCAGAGATAGAAGGATATAAGGCCATTCTTAAATCAGGAGCAAGGGCAGGCACTGTGAGAGGCAGAGCTGTAGAGATGCAAGAATCTTCTGGAAGAGCCTTTCTGTAGTACTGCAGTTCCCCTCCCCCTTAACAACAAGGTTGGACTAGATGGTCATTTACACTGGGAAATGAACCCAGAGGCTTTCACACACACACACAAGACTTCTGATATCTGATCACATGATTTTTTCTGCTTGGTAAACCACGTGGTGTGTGGCCAAAGGAAATGGTTGAAAAATGAAGGTGACTTTAGGAGATGCCTGAAGAGAAGGGTCAGAAACCACCACAGTCAGGAGACTTTCAGTTCTGGGCATTTTGTTCTGTTTCTCATTTTCAAATAGTTTAAAAAGTAAACTTCTTAAAGGCAAGATCTGCCTTTTTTCTATATTCCTTGGCTTGGCTCAGTGCTACTGAAGCCAGCATTCTATTGATGCCATTAGTTCTGGTCTCAAAAGGGTAACACAGTATGATGGGAGAAAACAGCAGTCCAAGGCAGAAGACCCGGGTTCTGGTGCTTTTCTGACATACTAGCTGGGTGGCTACAGGTAAGAAGTGCGACCCTTTCTGGGCTTCAGCTGGCTCATCTGTAAAACGGGGAGTTGACCCAGATGACGGCTCAGGGTCTTTCCAATTCTAATACTATAAGAAATCAGTCATCTATTGACAAGAGAGTTCATGTATTTCAGGCATTAGGCTTGTCTCAACTGGCTTTTAGAAAGTAAACTTTGCAGTTTCTTCTCTTAACAGGTGGTACCACCCTCTCAAAGATAAGCTGGTCCTGCTTGCCACTCCTTATCACCCTCGTTTCTGGCCTGCTTGGTAACTTGCCATTTTTACAACCTTCCATGATGGCCATTCTTAGTTTCTTCATCTTGCTCTTCCAAGTGAGGAAAATAAGAGAGAAAAATAGGAGTGACATTAGCTAACAAACACACACACACATAAAGCTATTGCTGCACGTCTGCAAGGAGACAGCAAAGTACTTTGTGAGATTGCTGAGAATCACCGAATAGGCATTTTACAAATATAAGATGAACATTTGAAAGCAGGTCTTACTATTTCTTCCTGCTTTTGCTGACAAGGGATCTGTTTCCATGTATTCCCGCATCCATCGGAAGGTGGAGAGTGATTCTCTGCTTTTTAAACCAAGAAGCTCAGGGCCTGCTACTCCTTACGTGGTGGCATCGCCCATACAGGCTTCACATCCGTCAAGCCTGTGCTTGCTACAGCCCAGTGGGCCAGACATGAGGATTACCCAGCATTAGGGGGCATTCACACTGGGCATATGGGTCCCAGAGACTTGGAAGATGAGAATTAGTATCACTCTACATATCCTGGAAGGGGCTTGTACCTGGAACAAAGTTTGTACCATTACCGTGTAGATACTAGCTAACCTACTAGTGGTCCTGGCGCAGTGGCTTCTCCAAAAATATTTAAAAAATAAATAGGAATCTGGTGGCTCTTCACAACCTCAATATCTGTGTGTAAATTACTTCCGCAGGTACAAAAATAAAAGGCTGTCTTTCACTGATGGCTTTATTATCTCCACGTTCCAAAATTCTTTCTGACCCCTGAGGCTCATAAATCTGGGCTGCGTCCTGTCTGGATGTCAGACTTGTGTCACAGTCACCCCACAACCTGCTCAGCAGGATCTGTTATTTGGGGGGAAATCACCTCACTTTAATCCACCTCCGTGAGGACCCTCCATCATTTGTGTATCGGTCAAGTCAATGAGAATCTAAATCAGCAGGGCAACTCAGCAAATAAAACAAAAAACTTTCAAGTTGCACATACCCAAACTTTTCATGAAAGAAAGGAGTCAACAGCTAAGTTTCCACCAAGGGATTTTTGTCCAGCAAAGGATACTGCAGGCCCGAGGCCACGGCACTGGTACGGTAACCTCCCAGGCGTTGCCCACTCTCCGAGCAGTGCCAGGCAAACTGCTTATCCTGCCCCGTGCTCAGCACCCACTCCAGCTCCAGGACAAACAGGATCATCGTCACTCTGCTCTGATGCGCTAAAAGCCAAGAGACAAGAAAATAACCCATAAAGCATCATAAAGGAGACTGATAAAGCATGGTCCACAGAGATGCGTCATTCTTTTCTCCCCACCCCAGAGGAAGCTGCATCGTATGGACAGCCATTACACACACAGAACAGCGGTTCTCACCAGGGGAAGAGGTATACCACTGTCGAGGGGCATGCCTGAGCTGTTAGACAATTTTTTAAAAACTATTCATTTCCTTCCACCTGTCCACTGTCTATTTCCTCCTACCTCCCACTGTCCATTTTTTTCCCGCCTGCACCAAATCTAAGTTTACCACCACCCGGAGTCCCCATTACCAAAGGGCCTGGGCCACCTCTCTCAGACATGATAGAGCTGCTGGACTGGAGAATGTCAGACTCAATGTGACCACAGGACAATAGAACGCATGATGATCTTATAAGTTTATGCAAGCTTAAAAAAAGTAAAGAGCATTACTGTGCTCCTTTTGGTGAAGTATGGCTTATTAAACCTACAACAAAGTTCTAGATGAATTTTTTGTAAGAAATCAAATGCTAGAAAGGAGGGCAGAATTATTCCCAAGTGCCACGTAAAAGAGAATGAAATAACCCTTATGTCAAAGTATACATACATGTGATAAGGAGGGCAAATCTCCCAGGGTTGCTCATACACAGAGGCAACACCATCCACAGAATTACCACATCACACAATTTTATAGTTAGAAGAAACTGTTCATGTCATCTACTCCATCTCCCTATTTTACATGTGGGTAAATTCAGGCACAATGAAGTCGAGTAGTTTGGCCAAGGTCTCATGGCTTCTCAATTATCGAATAAAATCCATAAAAATTTGCTTTCTTCTTACACAATTCCAGAGGGTGAGGCAGAGGGGGTCCATGGCCACTGAACAGAGCTGACTGGAATAGACAAAGATCAATACCCTGGAACCCAGACCTCACTGGCCCTGTGCCCAGGGGCTGGCAGTTTGGTGGGCAAGAGCAGACTCGTCACGAGCGTGATGACGTGATAGAGAAAACATCAGTTTCCCATTTTGATCATGAAAATAAAGTTAGTATGGACTAGATGGATCAGTGCAGCTCTATTGACAATAACAATATCGCCTGCCAATTTCTGAGTGTCTAACAAGTGCCAAGTACTTAAATATATTCTTTCACTTAGTCATTGTAATGACCCTGCAAAAGTGGGTAGTTTCTTCATCTTATAGACACAACCTGGCCTTGGCAGGATGGCCCTTTTACACTGGCTACCAAACCAATGAGTACCCACAGGACAGCCATTCCACCAAATGCCTGATATTTTAAACTCTGATATTTGAAGCATAGAGAATCTAAAGGGACACAGAAGGGCTACAGAAGCAATAATACTATGACTTCTCTACAGTAAACACCTGCCTGTCAGAGTATCAGCCACCATTCAAGATCAAAGTGTTGTCTTTAACTTAAAAGGTATGATTTCTTGGGAGAAACTCCTGAGGATCTTGTCATCAAATGTCCAATTCAAGGCTCCACCAATGATGGAATAAAAATGAACTTCTCTAATGGTTCAAGTTTCTCAAATCTATTTCAGCAAGAAAGTAGCCCCCAGCACTTTGTCCCTTTCTCCCATCACTCTCTAAGTCCAAGGGGATGACAGCAGTCCAGAAGACAAGGGGGGTTAAGCCCTCTGAGCTGCCATCATGTGACGGGAGGAGACAGAGGCTCACACAGGTTGAGTGACTTGCTCAAATCTGCACAATCAACGAGTGATGAAACGAGAACTAAGACCCTAGGCTCTCCGCCAAAGTTGATTCTCTTTCTGTGTCAGGCTGCCGAGGATTACTGAAAAAACAAAAAAACAAGCCCCAAAACTCAGAGCACATACTCTTTTCTAAGGTGACAGAATTCTTTCATTCAAAAAGAAACCCTTTAAAGATATCATTAAGCTTCAGAAATGTGGGCTTGAAGTCTGGCTATACTTCTTGAATAGGAAGGCTGAGAGAAGATATCCTTGTCTTGTTCATGATCATAGAAGGAAAGCATCTCCTTTCTCACAATTAAGTACAATGTTAGCTGTAGGTTTTTGTAGATGTTTCTTTATGGAGTAAGGAAGTTCGCCTCTATTCGTAGCTGGCTAAGTGTTTTTATCACGAATGGGTGTCAGAGTTTATCAAATGCTTTTTCTGCACTAATTGATATGATCATATCATTTTACTTCTTTAGCCTTTTGATGTGATGGATTACACTGATTTTCAAATGTTAAACCAGCTTTGCATGTCTGGAATAAATCTTCTTGGTCATGGGTGTATAATTCCTTCTATATAATGTTGGATTTGCTAGAATTCTTTTTTTAAGGATTTTAACATCTAAGTTCATGAGAATTACTGATCTGTAGTTTTCCTTTCTTATAGTGTCTTTGCTTTTGGTATCACTGATTGGTTTTTAAAAAAATGTTTATTGAGGTAAAAATCACCATTTAAACCATTTTAGAGTGTATAATTCTGCGGTTTTTAGTATATTCACAATGTTGTACAATCATCATGGAAAAATGTACTATTTACAGAACATTTCCATCACCCCAAAACAAACCCACATCCCCAACTCCTCTTCCCTTATCCCTGGGCAACCACCAATTACTTTCTGTCTCAATGGATTCCCTTATTCTTTTTGTTTTTCTTTAAGACTATTTATTTATTTATTTGAGAGAGAGAGAGAGAGTGCGAGCACAAGTGGGGGGAGGGGCAGAGGGAGAGGAACAAGCAGACTCCCCGCTGAGTGGGGAGCCCAATGTGGGGCTTGATCCCAGGACCAAGAGATCATGACCTGACTTAAAGTCAGATGCTAAAACAACTGAGCCACTTAGGTGCCCGTCCTCCCCTATTCCTGACATTTCATATAAACGTATTCATACAAAGTATGGTCCTTTGACTCTAGTTTCTTTCACTTAGCATGTTTTCAAGGTTCATCCACGTTGTAGCATGTATCAATATTTCATTCCTTTTTTGTGGCCAAAAAATAATTCATTTTTTTTGATACACCACATTTTGTTTAACCATGCATCCATTCATGGACATTTAGGTTATTTCCACTTTTTGGCTATTGTGAATAATGTTGTTATGCACAATGGCATGCAAGTATGTTTGAATCCCTCCTTCCATCTTTTTTGGGTATAAACCTGGAATAATCCTTGCTTGGTTGTGATGTACTATCCTTTGTATATGCTGCTGAATTTGATTTGCTAAAATTCTGTTTAGATTTTTTTGCATCTGTTTTCATGGGGAAGCCTGGCCTATATATTTCTTTTCTTGTACTGTCTTTGCCTAGTTTTAGTGTCAGGTAATGCTGACTTCAAAAATCAGTTGGAAAGTCTTTTTCTGAAAGAGTTTGTGCAGTTTGTATTGCTTCTTCCTTAAATATTTGATAAGATTCACCAGTAAAGCCATCTGGGCCTGGGGTTTTCTTTGTGGGAAGGTTTTAATTATAAAGTCAATTTCTTTAATAGATACAGGGTTATTAGGGTTATCTATTTCTTCTTGAGTGACCTTTGCAATTTTTACCTTTCAAAGATTTGTTCATTTCATTGAGGTTGTCAAATTTTATTGGCATAAAGTTGTTCATAATATTCCTTATTATCCTTAAATATCCCTACAATCTCTAATAGTTATCACTTCCCTTATTCCTGATATTGGTAACTTGCATCTTCTCTGTCTCTTTTCTTTCTGTTAAGTCTGGCTAGAGGTTTATCGCTTTTACTCATCTTCTCAAAATAAACAAAAACAACAGTTATTGGTGTCACTAATATTTATTTTCTGTTTTCTATTTCATGAACTTCTGCTATGATTTCTCTTCTCTTCTGCTTGGCTTTGTTTCCATTTGTTCTTTTTTTTTTAAGATTTTATTTATTTGAAAGAGAGAGCATGAACGGGGGAAGGGGCAGAGGGAGACGCAGACTCCCAACTGAATGGGGAGCCCGACAGGGGGTTCGATCCCAGGACCCCAGGATCACAACCTGAGCCAAAGGCAGACCCAACGGACCGAGCCACCTGGGTGCCCCTCTTTCTGGGGCATAAACTAAGGTCACTGATTTGAGACCTTTCTTCTGTTCTAACATAGGTGTTTAGTTAAGTACTGCTTTAGCAGCATACCATAAATTTTGATATGCTGTTTCCATTTTGATTTCTTCTTTGACCCATGGATTACTTAGATGGCCCATGGTTATTTAGCTTCCTAATATTTGGGGATTTTCCAGAGATATTTCTGTTATTGACTGCTGCTTCAATACCATTTTGATCAGAGAACACACCTTGCATGACTTGAATTTTTCCAAATTTACTGAGACTCGTTTTATGGCCCAGACTGTGATCCACCTTGATAAATGTTCTGTGTAAAGTTGAAAAGAATGTGTCTTCTGCTTTAGTTGAATGGAATGTTCTACAGATGTCAATTAGAGCAAGTTGGCTGTGTACTGTTCAAGCCTTTTACACCTTATTGATTTTCTGCCTACTTATTTTGTCAATTATTGATATATTCGATCAATTATTGAGAGGAATACTAAAATTTCTGACTAAAATTGAGGATGTGTCTATTTCTCTTCCTGAAGTTTCATCAGGTTTTGCTTCACATATTTCAAAGCTATGTTTATTAAGAGCATAAACACTTAAGATCGTTATGCCCTCCTGATGGATTGACCCCTTAATCATTATGAAATAATCTCTGGTAATATAATCCTTTATCCCTGGTAATATTCTTTTCTCTGAAGTCTACTTTTGACTACTATTAACATAGCCACTCCAGCCTTCTTTTGACTACTGTTTGCACAGTATATCTTTTGCTATCCTTTTATTTGTAACTGCTTTATGTCTTTATATTTGAAGTACATTTCTTGTAGGTGGTTTACATTTGGGCCTCCTTTTTTTCAGTCAATCTGAAGGCCTCTGCCTTTTAATTAGCCTTAGGCCACATACATTTAATATGATTATTGATAACTGGTAGGTTTAAATCTATCACCTTGTTATTTGTTTTCTATTTTCCCATGTGTTCTTTTGCCTTTTCCTTCTTCTTCTTTTTTTTTTTTTGGCGGGGGGAGAGGGGTTCATTGAGAATGATTTTAATGATTCCATTTTATCTCCTTGGTTGGCTTATTTGTTGTAACTTTTTGATTTGTTATTTTATGGTTGCTTTAGGGCTAGAAGTATACATCTTTAACTTATCATTGTCTTCCTTCAAGTGAATCTATTCCACTTCATGTGTAGCATAAGAATCTTACAATAGTATGTTTCCATTTCTCCCTGGGTCTTGGCTTTTGTGTTACTGATGCCAAACATTTTAATTTTACATGTTATGACCCTCGTGCTACTTTATTATTTTTAGTTAAATAGCAAATTGTCTTTTTATAAGATTTAAATAATAAGAAAATATCTCATAGTAACCACGCCTGGTGCTCTTCATCCTTTTGCGTACATCCCTATTTTCCTTTGGCATCATTTACTTCCTTCCTGAAGGACTTTCTTTAACATTTCCTTTAGTGCAGGTCTATGAATTCTCTCAGTTTTTTATGCCTGAAAAAATTTTTATTTCACCTCCATTTTTGATATCTATTAATATTTACTCATAGTGGATTGATTCCTTTTAACTTTTATAATTTATTTTTATTATTATGAATTCATCTTAAGCAGGGCTTGTTTTTGCTGTGGGATATTTGTGTGACTTGTTTTGTTGAAGAGAGCTTTTGAATTTATTTCTAGCAGAACCATGAGGATACCACTGGCCCAGGACCAATTTTTATGTTAAATTCTTAAGCTGGAGCTTCTAGCACTACATGAATGATTTAAATTTGTATTCCAAATCCAAAATTTTAGGTTGCAAGTTTCATTTATCTGGAAGATTCTTCCCTCTATCCAGATCTGAGATCAGGAATAAATTATGCTATGGTCTTCTGGGCCAATAAGTGGAGAGTTCTGGTCCTCTCCTTTTTCATGGTGATATAGCCCTTTACGCATTTCATCTTTATATGTAAATATCAGTTGCAACTTCCCATCTCACTCAAGCCCTAGGTCTCATCTTCTGTCCCTAAGTCAATGTTCATACAAAAGCTTCTAGCTATTAGAAGTTCTATTTTTCTCCCCAAGATAGCTGCAATGTCAGGTAGTATGCATATCACTTTGAGTTTTAGTTCTCCCTTTGCTTCTGGTACATGGGACTCTCCCTCTTGTTTCTCTCATGGTCTTATTAGCATTGCATTAAAAAAAAATTTAATCACAACTGGGATTTCAAAATGTCTTGATAAGCTGAGATGATGGACTAAATAAAATGAGATGATGAATAACCTGTATTCCAGCATTTAGGCTAAAAACAAAACAAAACACCCCCCACACCAAAAAAGGCAACAGCTTCAACAGTTTTATCAGTACCCGATAAAAACTTAAGTGAGAACCATTAAGGGGTTTGAGTTGACTGCTCCACATGAGCCTACAGTGTAAAGTGGCTGTCAAAAGTTCACCCTTCATGGCACAGTGACCAGAAGAGGAAGGAAATACCATTTTGTAGTTACCACATTACATATGTATATTGGTTATCTACTGTATAACAAATTACACCAAAACTTAATAGCTTAACAGTAAACATTTATTATCTCAGAGTTTCTGTGGATCAGAAATCTTGGTGCCTCTGCTGAAAGGTGTCTCACAGGATGAAATCGAGGTCAAGTGGTGGGGCTATGGTCTCATCTGTAAGACTGACAGAGGGAGGACCTGCACAATTCCATGTCTCTCATGTTGACTAGATTCAGTTCCTCATAGGCTACTGAGCTACCAGAGGGCTTCAGTTCCTTACCAGCTACTGATGTGGCCTCCCTCAATTCCTCATCACATAGGCGTCTCCATAAAGTAGCTCATAAGATGGCAGCTGGCTTCCATGAGAGCCAGCAAAAGCAGGAGAGGGCAAGCAAGAAGGCCTAGTCTCTTTGTAACCTAATCTTAGAAGTGACATCCATCATTTGCCATATTTTAGGTCCAGTCTACACTCAAGGGGAGTTGACATTCAAAGGCATGAATAACAGGAGGCAAGGATCATCAGGAGCCATCTTAGAGGCTGCCTACCACAATGTGTCACATTTTTAAAGGGCTCCAGAGGTAGAACATGATATCCCAAGATCTGTGACCAAGACAACTAAAAAAAATTTTTTTAGAACAAAAATTCAGGTCATGTAAAATGTTTAGGCTAGAAAATAGAAGAGATAAAAGGGGAGAGGAAGAGACCAGGGTGGGAACTTTCATGGCTGTTTTAAAATCACTGAAAAGCTGTCATCTGTAAGAGAGACTGTACTTAGTTTCTGTGGCTCCAACAGGCTGAACAAAAACCAAAAGGGGAACATTCTAGTATTTACAACATAACATTTTATTGACCTGGTTATCTGTTTGTAACCTCTACATAATTATAAACTGCTTATAGGCAGGTACTATAATGTCTTGTTTACTGTTATAATCCTCAGTTACTGGAACTCAGTAGGTACTCAGTGAATACTTGGTAAGTGTTATGTGAAAGCAATTAAAGAACAAATCCATAGGGAAATGAATTTTGGATTAAAATCTAGAAATAAAAAACTTAATACTTAGAATTTTACAAAAATCAGGATGGATTGCTAGGTATGTCTCTGGAGGTATCAGAAGAGAGTCTGGATGATCATGCAGGATGGATGAAGTCAAGAAATGTGGATGAAATAACCTCTAAGTCTTAAAAGATCCACCTCTAATGTTCTGATCCTATAACATCATTGGTCTCGATAAATAAATCATTACAGAAAATGGCTCCTGCTCCATCTATGGTACACTGCCAATGTTGAAGACACAAGAAAACCTTAATTCCTTTCCCTTAGACAACATGGACACTTCAGGCCTTTTAAAATATTTAACCAAAAATGAAATGAACCCCATGTAAAGTAGCTCACTCCTAACACTGACCCCACTTCTCTGCATCTGCTGCACTGCTTTGAGGTTGTATGGTGTGGCAGAGAGACAAAGGACAAAGGTCAGAGGTTCTGGGGTCACAACGACCCAGTCTGGTTCTGCACTTTACAGGACCTCAGGCAAGTCACCCAACCTCGTTAGGCCTCAGTTTTTTTACTTCAAAGACTCGGATAATATTCACCTGAAAGGATTGCTCTGTTTTGCTCCCCCTGACTACTGTAAAGTGAAACCGTCAAGAATCATCTCAAAATCTAGGTAAAAACACTGCTGTCTCACTCCTACCTTGATAGTTTTTCACAGGAGTCATCTTGTTATAATCTTCTGATAAAATAAACTCCTGCAAAAGAGAAGAAAAATATCAAGCAAAAAGAAAGTCCTTGGGGATTAACATAAGAATAAAAAAAAAATGCAGAAAAAAAAAAAAGAAAGTCTTTAAGTGAATAATTAGGTTTCGATAAAACCAGACTGCATAAAGAAACATCATCACAGAATTACATCCAACATTAGTATTTTGCCAATCAACTCAGCATTTTTGTACATCTTTAAAAGTAACAATCATAATTTATGAACTAATGCAATTATAATTTTTATTTTGTAACACTGAGGTTGTTTTTTTGTTTGTTTTTGAGTATGTGTGAGAAGAAAACTGGATCAAGTTCAGTGTCTTGACACCATCTTGTCAATTTTGAAGATAACCCTCATTTAACTTGCTACAGCTGAAAATTTGGCCAATGAGCAAATGCATGGCAATCCTCTTTTAGAGAAGCAAATTAGGTATTTTAAAAGATTGTTTCTAATATCAGTAACTTATTTCTCCTTACAATAAGCTTCTCAAGGGTGCATCTTACTCATCCCTAAATCCCTATGGTACATGGCACAGTGTCTTGGTATAGTAAGAAATCAGTAAGTATTGACCAAACAGAAATGTGAAAGGCATCTCCCAATCTCATGAGATTAATCTGAATGTCAAATTTACTCAAAAATAGTTTCTATATAATGCATTGTATATACTCTTTGTGAGGACACATAAAACATGAGTGGGTGAGTTTGTGTGTGAGCACGTGTGCATTCTTCACCTAAGTATCTACATATACAATGACCTATATGTAGAAGTCAATCAAGTGTTTATAAGCCCCAGCCAGGTTTTGAGTCCTTCAGCTTCTCTCAAATGCAAAATATCCATATACTCTTAAATAGTAAGTTGTCAAACAAGGAAAGCTGCAAAGGATAACAAATTGATGCCTTCATCTGAGCTCAGAAACAGAACAATGAGTCTTTTCAAAACATTTGGAGGCTTCCAGAATTTTTCCTTGAGGACTTAAAGAAAGGTGTGTGGGAGGACAGATGTGTAAACTCCTTAATTGCTATCTGGGTATTTACTGAGCTGATAGAGTGTAAATTTTAGAAGAAAATACTTATTTTATTGTTTTTGTGACAGATGCCACAAAGGTAAGTATGAGGTGATGTGACAGAATATAGGAGGTAACAAAGTTTCTCTGGGTGTTCACTTTCCTACCCTGTCCCTCCTTAAGAAGCTTATCTACAAAATGGATTTTCTCAGTAAAAACATTACTCAACTTGTCACTTTTTAAATTCCTATCAGTATTCCTTCAAGAAGTAGCACTATGCTCACTTCTCATTTCTTTTTTAAAGATTTTATTTATTTATTTGACAGAGAGAGACACAGCAAGAGAGGGAACACAAGCAGGGGGAGTGGGAGAGGGAGAAGCAGGCTTCCTGCTGAGCAGGGAGCCCGATGCGGGGCTTGATCCTAGGACGCTGGGATCATGACCTGAGCCGAAGGCAGACGCTTAACGACTGAGCCACCCAGGCGCCCCTCACTTCTCATTTCTGAAGAGTTAAATTCACAACTGAAGAGAGCAGGCCAATTTTTAAAAGGAGTAAAGTCGTTCTCCCATGAGAAGCTGATGGTGTGGGTAAGGAAGCTATGCAGGCATCTAGGCCTCGACTCACCACCACCCTCAATCCCAAGCAAGAGTAGCTTGATCCTGAGCCTCCCACTTTAGAGGGCCCCCAATTTCCTCACATACACGCTGAATAAATTTATTAAAGACCATTATTATTTAGGCAAGTGTTTGCTGAGTTCATAGAATTCATATGTTACTCTGATTATACTGAAATTGTTCTCTAGCGTGGGCAAAAGGTCACTCAATTCCTTTCAGGACAAGGGCAAGGTATAAAATGAAACAACTGGATGCAGATCTGTATTTAGAATCAACATATTAGAATTAACAAACACAATAAAATTACCAGTTCACTGCATTGGTACACTTAATTTTTTTGTTTATTTGCTTTCCCTATGAAAATAGAAACATGTAATCATGGAGAAAATTTGGGAGATTCTGTCAGCCTTTTTTCTTCTTATTTTTTTGATCAAACAAACAATATGCTATTTTAAAGAAATGTAAGAGAGACAGGCATTTAAAAGTCCCTTGTGATATTGTTTCTCAGAGATAACTATTATAAAAAGTATTATTGGAATAATATACATAATAAAACAAAATATTAATACTTTTTAAATTGTTTTTAATTTTAATTCTAGTATAGTTAACATACAGTGTCATATTAGTTTCAGGTGTACAATATAGTGATTCAATACTTCCATACATCACCCAGTGCTCATCACAAATGCACTCCTTAATCCCCATCATCTATTTCCTCCCCTCTGGTAACCATCATAGTGTGTTCTCTATGGTTAAGAGTCTGTTTCTTGGTTTGTCTTTTTTTTTCTTTGCTCGTTTGTTTCTTAAATTCCACATCATAAATAAGATCATACGGTATTTGTCTTTCTCTGACTTAAAATGTTAATACTTTCTAACGAGGCTTTTTTTCTGTTAACAAATCATGTATATCATTTCACATGAGTACATGTTTATCAATTTCATTCTTTTTGTGTGTGTGTGCTGTTTTTTTTATTTTTTATTTTTTTATTATGTTATGTTAATCCCCATACATTACATCATTAGTTTTTGATGTAGTGTTCCATGATTGTTTGCATACAACACCCAGTGCTCCATGCAGAACGTGCCCTCTTTAATACCCATCACCAGGCTAACCCATCCCCCCACCCTATCATTCTTTTTAATGACCGCACAGAACGTGCGGTAATGGTCTTCTACAGACATATGCTTACATTTCCAGTTTTCCATATTTAAAAATACTACATTCAATATATTTTATTTTTTTACATCTCTAACAATATTTCAATGAAATAAAGTTCTAGAATTGTTGGATCAGAGGGTATGACCATTTAAAATTTGACTGTTAAAATTTGATAGATACTTTCAAATTGACTTCTTAAAAGATTTTTATCTATTAACACTCACAATATAACATGAAAGTATGGCTGTAGCCTGGAATATTTTGTTAGGTTTAACCAATCAAAGCTCAGTAGATCAAAGATGTATAAACAGTTTTTTAATCCATCTTTCTATCATCCCTTCTTTACATTCAACTGTCCATATATCTATCATCCTAACTTTTTTTAATACTTAATTTTTTTAGAGCATTTTTAAATTCACAGTAAAATTGGAGGAAGGCACAGAGATTCCTCACATACCCCCTGCTCCCCTCCAAACAGCCTCCCCCATTAAAACCTCTCACCAGAGTGGTACATTTATTACAACTGATGAACCTACACCCCTTCCAAAGTCCATAGTTTACCTTAGGGTTCACGCTTGGTATTGCAAATTCTGTGGTCTTTGATAAATGCATATTGACATGTATCCACTATTATAGTGTCATGCCCTAAAAATCCTCTGTGCTCTGCCTATTCATCTTTCTCTTCCCACCTAATCCCTGGCATCACTGATCTTTTCACTGTCTCCAAAGATTCACCCTTTCCAGACTGTCATATAGTTGGAATCATAGAGTTTGTAGCCATTTCAAATTGGTTTCTTTTACTTAGTACTATGCACTTAAGTTTCCTCCATGTCTTGTTATGGCTTGATAGCTCATTTCTTTCTAGCACTGAATACTATTCCATTGACTGGATGTACCACAGTTTATCCTTTCACGTACGGAAGGACATCTTGGTTGCCTCCAAATTTTTGTCAATTATCAATAAAGCTGCTATAAACATCCATGTGCAGGCTTTTGTGGAAATACAAGTTTTCAACTCCTTTGGATAAAAAAGCAAGGATTGCTGGGCTGTAAAACACTGTTGCTCCACGTCCTTGACAGCATTTGGTGGTGCCACTCTAATAAGTATGTGGTGGTATCTCATTTTAATTTGCATTTCTCTGATGACATAGGATATGGAGTATCTTTTCATATGCTTACTTGCCATCTGTAGATCTTCTTTGGTGAGGTGTCTGTTAAGGTCTTTGGCGCATTTTTAATCTCTTATTGTTGAGATTTAGGAGTTCTTCAAATATTTTGGATAACTCCTTTTATCAGATAGATCTTCTGCAAATATTTTCTCGCATTCTGTGGCTTGTCTTTTTATTCCCTTTACAGTGTTTTGCAGAGAAGAAATGTTTCATTTTAATGAAGCACAGTTTATCAATTCTTGCTTTCATCATACCTATGCTATAGTATCTAAGATGCCATCAACAAACCCAAAGTCATCTAAATTTTCTCCTATGTTTTCTTCCAGGAGTTTTTTAAGTTCTGCATTTTACATTTAGGGTCTGTGAGTTATTCCAAGTTAATTTTTGTGAAGGGTGTGACCTGTTGTCTAGATTTATTTTTTTTACATGTGGATATCCAGTTGTTCCAGCACGATTTGTTGAGAAGACTATTTTTTTCTCCATTGTATTCCTTTTGCTCCTCTGTTGACTTTATTTATGAGGTTCTACTTCTGGGCTCTCTGTTCTGCTCCACTGATCTACCTGTCTACTCTTTCACCCATACCACACTATCTTGATTACTATAGCTTTACAGTAAGTCTTGAAATTGGGCAGTGTCAATCCTCCAACTTTGTTCTTCTCCAATATTGTGTTGGCTCTTCTGGGTCTTCTCTCTCTCCATAAACTTTAGAATCAGTTTGTCGAGATCTATAAAATAACTTGTTGGGATTTGGATTGGGATTGCACTGAATTTATAGATCAAGTTGGAAGAACTGACATCTTGACAATATTGAGTCTTTCTATCCATGAACATGGATCTCTCTCCATTTATTTAGGTTTTTAAAAATTTCACTCATCAGAGTTCTGTAGTTCACTTCATACAGATCTTGTACATATTTTGTTACATATATACCAAAGTATTTCATTTGGGGGGGTGCTAATGTAAATGGTACTGTGTTTTTAATTTCAAATTCCACTTGTTCATTACTGGTATACAAGAAACAACTGACTTTTATATATTAACTTT